GGTCTCGGCGTCTCCCAGGGCCATCAAGGTTTGGAAGGCCATGCGACCCAAACCTCTTCCTGTCAAAGGCGTCGTAGCCCCTGTAGAAGCCTGGACGCACTTCTTGGCGCGGGCTCAGCTGCTGCAACGTAAGCGGCCAGGCTTCTTCACGGCCAACTACGCTGCTGCCAGTCTCCTTAAGCTAGAGCATGACAACATTCAGGTCTCCCTCGATTTAGGGGCCCAGTTGTCCACCTGGATGGTTGCTCTTGAGCGGGAGGCTTTTTCGAAGCTTGGCTTGACTCAGGACCAGGTCTTCCAGTATATTGGTCGTTGCCAGGAGCACAGGTTGCGTTGGGCGCCCCTCTTGGCCGCCCAGGTTGAAGGGCCCTGCCAGGCTGATCGTGACGCCCTTTTCTGGCAGGCCGCCTTTGTCAAGCTTAAGCTGTTGCTCAAGCTTGTCCCACAGGACTCTATTGATGGCATCCCGCCGCAGCCTCACAGGAAGCATGCTGCTCAATTTCGTGTCACTCTGGCTTGGCTTTCCCAGCAGGTGCCCCCCTCCCCGTCGGATCCTTCAGATGCTGGCCAGTGTGGCACCTTTAACTTGTGGAGGACTCGTTTTCAGCAGATTCCCGATATACCTTTCGACGGGCTGCATGACTTGTTAGCTGAGCTCCAGCAGGTGCCTGAGAAGTCCCACCGTGACGCCCTTCAGGCTCAGAAGGCCTCGTGGAAGGCTTGGCTCCAGGGCGCGCTCCTCAGGTCTGCGGGGCCGGCCCACCGTTTGCTTAAGCCCTCCCTGGACCCCCTGGCGGCCGAAAAGATCGGTAAGGAAGGACCCTGCTCAGCCTTGGATCAGCTTTTAGATTTTGAAGCAGCCGCTTGGACGGCCATCTGGCAACGGCACGATAAGGTTGAAGCGAGGGCTGCGTTGGCTGCCCTGCGTAAGCGTGCTCGGTCGCCCCCGCGCCTGCCACCCATTGACCTTCACACCCTCAATCGCGCGCTCAAGTCGATCCCTGACTCCAGGGGTCAGGGTTTGGATTCTATTGAGCCGCGTTTAATTAAGGAGGCTAGTGAAGATGCCAAGACCCACCTAATACAACTGCTCGAGTCCATTGAGGAGCAGTGCACTTTGCCTTTCCAGCAGCTCTTTGCGCTGATCGCCCTCATTCCGAAGCCTGACGGGGGGAAAAAGCCCATTGCGCTGTTCGGCTTTGTTTACACTCTCCTTTTGCGCATCAGGAAGCCATGCATCACGGCCTGGGACCGTGAGACGCATGGCCCCTGGGACCAGACCGTTGGTGGTTCGGCTGATGCTGCAGGTTGGCTCGACGAGCTCGAAACGGAACTTGCCCTCCACAGTGGTTTTCAGGTCGGGGGCCTGTTGCTTGACATGAAGAAGTATTATGACCAAGTCTGTCTTCAGGACTTGGTGGGGGCTGCCTGCCAATTAGATTACCCACTCCGTCTGTTGGCCCTGGCCATTGACCTGTACTTGGGGGTTCGGCATTTGTCGTTGGAGGGCGCTGTTCACCCTGGGATCCTGGCTCATGGGGGTATGTTGGCTGGCTGTGGCCAGGCCACCTCCCTCGCTCGTGCCCATTTGCACCAACCCCTTACAGGAGCCAGTGGATCGGTTGGTGGTCTGCGGCTGCGGGAGTGGGTTGATGACATCTCAGCTCGCCTTCTTGGCACGCATTCCTCCATCGTTGCCACCTTTCCCATCCTGCTGCGTGCCCTCCTCACTGGCCTCAGGAGGCGTCGCTGTCAGTTGTCCCTGGACAAGTCCCATCTGCTGGCGTCCTCGCCAGGCCTTCGGGCTGAGCTTTCCAGGATTGCTGCCCGTGAGGGCTGCGAGTTCTCGATGGCTCTGGCTGCCAGGGACTTGGGGCACGACGCCGCCTTGGGCGCCAGGAGGACTGCGGCCGTCAGGAAGACCCGCTTTTCCAAAGGGCGCGATGCCACTAGTAAGATTTTTGGTTTTGGGCGCACTTGCAGGCAGGCCAGTAAGTTGTTCTATCCTAATGCTTACGCGAAGGCCATGTGGGCGCCAGAGATCCACGGCGCCCCCCCCCCCTCCATGCCCAAAGGTCTTCGCAGCATGGCCCGTGCGGCCAGCAAGACCCCTCAGCGAGGAGCGTGTGCCACTACAGCCACCCGCCTTACTTTCGGCCATGGCCAGGACCCCCTCCAGGTCTACGTCCGTCGTGTTGTCAAGTCGTGGTTTGCTCGCTTGGCGGGGCGTCCTGGTCTCCACCATCGCTTGGCCCGACACTGGGCGGCCTCTTTGGCCAAGGTCCGAAAAAGGGTGGGCCTGGGCCCGTGGGCCGGTGGCTGCTTTTCAAGCCACGATTTTGTCTGTAGGATGGCAATGCCCCTCACCTTTCACTCTCACTGCGCCTTGCGGTGATGAGTGGCAGATGATGGAAGACGGGCATGGCCCTCTAGGCCCTCTCCTTGGGGCCTTTGATCAATCGATTGACACGCTTCAGTGGCGCCAGGCTTCAGAGTGGCTGGATGGCGCTGGGATCCAGGGTTCTGTCTCCCTACATCACGTCTGGGACCTTGTTGCCTCCCTCGATAAGGACGGGCGTCGGGACCTCGCTGCTATGATTCGGCTCGTGGTCTCTGGAGGCTACTGGACTGAGGAGAGAAGGCACAATGCCCAGATGGCTCCTGACCCTATATGTCGGCGCTGCCAGCGTGACCCCGAGACCTCCTGCCACAGGCATTGGGGATGCATGTGCAATGCGTCGTCGCAGGACCAGGAGATCGTCGGCACTCAGCATTTTAGGCACAGCGCGCTGCAAGAAGTTGTACAGCTTCCGTGCTTCTGGATTCGAGGACTTATTCCCCTTTCTTGGTTTAACCTTCCCCCTATTCCTGGTTCCAGGGAGCTCCAGGGGCGGCGTTGTCCTGGGGCTCTGTCCCCAGGCTGTCTGCCAGGAGGTCTTTACGCCACAGACGGCACTGGTGGCCAGTTTGCCAGGTATCCTGTTATCCGTCGCGTTGCTTTTGCCTTTGTGCGGCTCTGTCCTAGCGGTGGCTTCGTCTGGGATTGTGGTGTCACAGGTGTACTTGACTCGGTTCGGCAGACGGTACCCCGTGCAGAGCTTGCGGCTATTGTTGGGTGCCTTCGCTGCGTTGATCCTGCCCAAGATCTGCACGTGGTCACCGACCATGCCAATGTCGTCAAAGGCTTCCTGGCTGGCCGTGCGGCCTCTGCTAGGCTGGCAAATGCTGATCTCTGGTGGGAAGTTTGGCAGCTCCTCTCGGAGCGCTCTGGTCAATTCCAGGTCTCTCATGTGCACAGCCACTTGCTGGACGACGCCCAAAAGCTAGCCCGTTTTGGCGACGCTGTAGATTGGGACCATGTTGTGCTTAATTCTGTCGCGGACGAGCTCGCTAACTTGCGTGCTCTTGAATGCCAGGTGCCTGGGGGAGTTGTGCAGACTTATAACGAGCTCGTTGCCAATGCCTGTGCTATCCTCAAGCGCAACGCCTCTATCACCCTCGAGTGTGCCGCCCTCAAGGCTGATCCTGAGCGCAGGCTGCGCAAGCAGCCCATCGATCTAGTGCTCCGCAGGCGTCGGTGGATCGAAGCCGATGTTAGGTGTTCGTCGCACGTTTGGGAGTTTGTGTCTGGCTTCTGGACGTGTGGCAGGTGCAAGGCCTCGATCTCCGACGCTGCCCCATCGCTCCGCGCGAGGCTCCGCTCTGCTTGCCCTGCCTATGGAGGTGGTGGAGTTGGGGGTCTGGGTTCGGTGGAGGCGGAGGAGGTCCCAGTCAAAAAGTGGGTGAGACCAGGTCGGGCCCTGGCCGCCAGGGATGTTTCCCTCTGGCGCCGCCTAAGGCTCGATCCGCCCCCCGAGCGAGCTGAGCCATGGGTCGCTGGCAAGGCGGTCCACCCTTCGCACGTGCTGTGGCAGAAAGGTGACTTCACCTTTTGCGGCGAATGCGGCTCCTGGGCAATAGCTCGCCCTGATTCCTTGCGGGAGCCCTGTCCTGTGGCCGCTTTTGGCCCGCATGCCATTACTAAGCACCAGCTCGAGGTTTTACAGCGTATTTGCAAGGGCCTCCCGCCCTCCAAGACCTCCATGAGCTGGGTTGCGTGACTTTCTTTTCCCTGCCAGGCAACTGGAGGTTGGTTGGCAGCGGTGCACTGGAAAAAATCCTCTTCCTCCTCCTCCCTCCTCCTCCTCCTCCTCCTCCTCCTCCTCCTCCTCCTCCTCCTCCTCCTCCTCCTCCTCCTCCTCCTCCTCCTCCTCCTCCTCCTCCTCCTCCTCCTCCCCTCCCTCCTGCTCCTCCTCCCTCCTCCTCCTTCTCCTCCTCCTCCTCTCCTCCTCCTCCTCCTCCTTTCCTCCTCCCCTCCTCCTCTCCTCCTCCTCCTCCTCCTCCTGGTCCTGCTCCTCCTCCCTCCTCCTCCTCCTCCTCCTCCTCCTCCTCTCCTCCTCCTCCTCCTCCTCCTCCTCCTCCTCCTCCTCCTCCTCCTCCTCCTCCTCCCTCCTCCTCCTCCTCCTCCTCCTCCTCCTCCTCGTGCTCCTCCTTCCTCCTTCTCCTCCTGCTCCTCCTCCTCCTCCTCCTCCTCCTCCTCCTCCTCCTCTCCTCCTCCTCCTCCTCTCCTCCTCCTCCTCCTCCTCCTCCTCTCCTCCTCCTCCTCCTCCTACCTCCTCCTCCTCCTCCTCTCCTCCTCCTCCTCCTCCTCCTCCTCCTCCTCCTCTCTCCTCCTCCTCCTCCTCCTCCTCCTCCTCCTCCTCCTCCTCCTCCTCCTCCTCCTCCTCCTCCTCCTCCTCCTGGGGGGGGGGACCCAACAGTGGGGGGGGGGGGGGGGGGGGGGGGGGGGGGGGCGAAGACAGGGCCCCTGCAGGGCCCCTCCCTGTCTCTGCACCCCCCATTCAGGCCCCCCCCCCCCCCTTTGACACCCGCCCGAGCTGATCCTCGGCTCGCCTGCGTCTCGGCCCCCTGTCCCCGCCACGCTGGGCGGCCCGCCCCGCGCCGCCCGGCGGCCCCGCCAGGCTCGTGCACGCGCGCGACGCGAACCGGCGGACCCCGCTGCACTTGGCGGCGGCCATGGGCTACGTCGCGTGCGTGCGGCGGCTGCTGGACGCCAGGGGGAGGAGGAGGGGGAGGAGGGGGAGGAGGGGGAGGAGGAGGGGGAGGAGGAGGAGGAGGAGGAGGAGGAGAGGAGGAGGAGGAGGAGGAGGCGGAGGCGGAGGCGGAGGATGAGGAGGAGGAGGAGGAGGAGGAGGAGGAGGAGGAGGGGGATGAGGAGGATGAGCAGGAGGAGGAGGAGGAGGAGGAGGAGGAGGAGGAGAGGAGGAAACACACACACACACACACCGACGCTCAGAAGAGGAAAAGATGCCGAGGCCGCTGCCCTTTCCCTCGGCCTTCGCCCCGAGGTGCTGGTGAGACTGCACCCCAGGAGATGCCCGGGGCGTGGCAGTATTGGTGCTTCTTTGTCCCCGCAGATGCCGGTGGTCTCGAGGAGGTCGTTCGTCATGGTCGGCCTCTGGAGGCGCCCGTTTCGGGCGACGAAAGCGTCTCGGAGGTTCTGGTGAGTTTCTGTGCGGCTCCCGTCGCCACGGCTGGGCGCAGCTCGGGGGACTGGCCAGGATTGAGCTCGGGAGCGGTCCAAGAGCAGAATTCGGGATGATTTTTGTTGAAATGTCGGGAGACAGTTTGATGCTTTGCTTTCGTTTTCGCATGTTTGCGCTTCCCGGGGTGATAGGGGTCCCTCGCCGCCACGGCCAGCTTCGCCCAGATTCGCCAGAGCCCTGGGTCAGAGTGCAGCCATTGGAGAGGTCCAGGGAGTAGCGGTGTCGTGCCTTCAGGGCCCGCTTGACAGGGATTTCTTGTCAAACCAGGACGACGCGCCCGAGAAAATTGCAGCCGATGGCCGACACAGTTCTCCATTATCGAGAACGCATACGGCGAATCACCGCCGCCCCCTGCTTTTTTGGGAACGCCTATGTGGCCGAACGTTGTGGCCAGAGGCATGCCAAGCTATCGGACCATGTGTTCCCCGAATCGGTTTGGAAAGCGTTCGGGGAACACGGTGGGGGAGGAGGAAGGAGAGGAGAGGGAGGAAGAAGGAGAAGGGAGGAGGAGGCCTCTTGGGCGCCTCTTGGGGCACTCTTGGGGCCTCCTGGGAGCTTGCTGGGGGCCTCTTGGAGACCTCTTTGGGGCTTCCTTGGGCCTGCTGAGGGCCTCGGGGGGCTTCTTGGGGTCTCTTTGGCCGTCTTAGGGCGTTCCTGGCTCGTCTGACGCCGTCGGAAGCCGTCATGGGGGCCTGCCTGGGTCGCCTTGGGGTCCTTGAGGCATTTCAGGGAGGCCTAGTGGGCGATCTTGGGGGCCTCTTGGGCCGTCCTGTGCCGTCGGAATGCCCAGAAGAAGCAAATGCCAAACATCCTTCAAAACCCTAAGGACAACCAATGATTGTGGTCTCTTCGGGCCCCCCTGGAGGACCTCTTGGAGACCTCTTGGGTCGTGTTGGGCCGTCTTGGAGGCTTCTTGGGCGAACTTGGAGGTCTTGGAGGCCGTCTTAGACCATCTTCGGCGGATTTGGAGGCCATCTTGGAGGCCATCTTGGGCCAACGTGGCCATCTTGGAGACCATCTTGAGCCGTCTTGGGGGATTTTTCCGGGATTGAAATCCCTTTCGGGTGGCCGGCGGGACGGACCGAAGCCCCAGGGGGAACCAAAACCAAAACCGAAAGGATCCAGCACGCCGGGCACCCTTGTGATGAATCAACAGGGGGCGGCGGATCTAATGGCGTTCGGCCCATCCCGCCAGCGTGCCTGAGTTGTGGATCAGAGTTCTCAGGGATGCTTCTTGGAGTCTCGTCCGAGCGCTCTCGGGGGCCTCTTGGGGGCGTTTGGGGGCCTCGTGGGAGCCTCCTGGGAGCCTCTTGGGAGCCTGTAGGGCGCCTCTCGGGGCCTCTTGGGGGCCTCTTGAAGACCGCGGGCCGTCTTGGAGGCCTCTTGGGCCCATCTTGGGCCGTTTTGGAAGCCTTTGGGTCGTCTTGGGGCGACCCTCGGGGGCCTTTTGTGCCGTGCTGGAGCGTCGGGACGCCGAAAGGGCGAGAGTTCGAACATCCGTCAGAAACCTCAGGGACAAAGATTTGTCCTTGGAGCCCTCTTTGGACGCCTCTTGGAGGCCTCTGGGGCGCCTTGGAGGCCTCCTGGGCCATCTTGAGACCATCTCTGGAGTTTGGTAGCGATCTTTCGGCGACTCGGGGCCCTCTTCGGTCGTCTCGTAGGCATCTTGGGGCCCTCGGGGTCTGTCTTGGCGCCCGCTTGAGCCAGAAAATGGCACGCGGGGAGACGATCCGAGGCCCAGGCCAGGCCCGGGGAGATTTGAGAATTCTGGGCGCGGGCCCCGAAAATAGCTCCTCGGGACTGAGGACTGAGGCTCAGAGGATTTGAGGACTGAGGCTCAAGGGATCGGGCGAAGGACACGAAGAGTTGCCCCCTCCGTGCCCAGCGGCACGGCGGTGGACTCTTTCTCCCCAGGTGGAATTGCAAAGTCCTGGCTAGCCTTGGCATCGCTCGGACGTGCGCATTTTTCCTTCGGCGAGGACCATCGAGGAGCATCCTTGACCATTTGGCGAAACAAATACGCACGAAGCCGAAAAAACACAGGGAATGGACGTCCGAGCGATGGCAGGTAGCAGTGTCTTGGTGCGGGGTCGGCGGCTACAAAGGGCGTGGTCACGCGTTGGTGTGCTGTGCGATCGGCGCCGTCGGGGCTCGGGGCGCGGCAGAGGACCCTGTCGAGGCCCTCGCGCGCCCCCTGGGGTTTGAGTAGGACATCGGCCGCAGAGCTGACGTGCCCCAAAGCTGTTTGCTTCGAGCCTACGATGGATGCACAGCAAAGTTCGCAGGTCTGCAAGCAGCTTGCACGTAGCCGCCCGCAGTTGCGGATAAGAGTGAGGAGGCGGCGAGGGCGTCGGCAGTCTGCGAGGTTCTGAAGGAGCCCGCCGCAGGCCCCTAACTTTTACACACAGTGAAGTGAGCCCGCCGCAGGCGCCGATTTTTTCTTTAAAGCAAAGTGGGTGGGTCGCGGGATGGGTCGCGGGTGGGTCGCGGGTGGGTCGCGGGTGGGTCGCGGGCGGGTCGCGGGATGGGTCGCGGGATGGGTCGCGGGATCCCTCTCTCCTTGCCCCCGTGCTCCCTCCACGCTCCCCGGCCCCCGCGCCTTCTCCCCCGTGCCCCCCCCGCCGTCCCCGAGCCCTCCCCCGCTCCTTATTCCGACCGTGAGCCCCCCCCCTCCTCCCCCCGCTCTCCCTTGCGCCTCCCTCCTCTTGCCCAAGTCCTCTTCCCACCCTCCCCGCGCCCCCGCGCCCCTCTCCCCCGTGCTTCCCCTGCTCTCCCCAGGCCCCCTTCCCTTTTATTCCGACCGTGCGCCCCCCCGCCGCTCCTCCCCTGCGCCCCTCTCTCCTTGCCCCGGTGCTCCCTCCACGCTCCCCGGCCCCCGCGCCTTCTCCTCCGTCGTGCTCCCCCCGCCGTCCCCGAGCCCCCCCCCACTCCTTATTATTCCGACCGTGCGCCCCCCCCCTCCTCCCCCCGCTCTCCCCTGCGCCTCCCTCCTCTTGCCCCCGTCCTCCTCGCACCCTCCCCGCGCCCCCGCGCCCTTTCCCCCCCGTGCTTCCCCCGCCGTCCCCGGGCCCCCCTCCCCTTATTCCAACCGTGCACCTGCCCTCCTGCTCCTCCCATTCGCCCCGCTCCCTTCGCCCCGTGCCCCCCCCGCGCCCACCGAGCTCCCGCGCCTTCTCCCCCGTGCTCCCCCGCCTTCCCCAGGCCCCCCTCCCCGTATTATTCCGACCGTGCGCCCCTCCTCTCCCGCTCCCTCCCCTGCGCCCCTCTCCCCTTGCACCCGTGCTCCCCCCGCGCTCCCCGGACTCCCGCGCCGCTCCTGCTCCTCGTGCTCCCGCCGCCCTCCCGGGCCCCCCTCCCCTTATTCCGACCGTGCGCCCTCCCCCCGCTCCTCCCTTCCACGCTCCCACCGTCCTCCCCGGGCCCCCCTCCCCTTATTCCGACCGTGCGCCCTCCCCCCGCTCCTCCCCTGCGCCTCCCTCCTCTTGCCTCCGTGCCCCCCGCCTTCCCCAGGCCCCCCTGGCCTGATTCCGACCGTGCGCCCCCCCCCTCCTCCCCTGCGCCCCTCTGCCGTTGCCCCCGTGCTTCCCATTCTTCCCGGGCCTCCGCGCCTTCTCCCCCGTGCTTCCACCGCCCTCCCCGGGCCCCCCCTCCCCTTATTCCGACCGTGCGCCCTCCCCCCGCTCCTCCCCTGCACCCCCCTCCTCTTGCCTCCGTGCCCCCCGTCTGCCGGTTGCCCCTTCCCTTATTCCGACCGTGCGCCCTCCCCCCGCCCCTCCCCTGCGCCCTTCTCCCGATGCCTCCGTGCTCCCCCCGCGCCCCCCGGGCCCCCCGCCCTGTCCCCCGTGCTCCCCCCGCCTTCCCCGGGCCCCCCTCCCCTATTCCGACCGTGCGCCCCCCTCCACCGCTCCTCCCCTGCGCTTGTCTCCTCTTGCCCCCGTGCTCCCTCCACGCTCCCCGGGCCCCCGCGCCTTCTCCTCCGTGCTCCCCCCGCCGTCCCCGAGCCCCCCTCCCCTTAGTCCGACCGTGCGCCCTCCCCCCGCTCCTCCCCTCCGTGCTCCCCCCGCCCTCCCCGGACCCCCCCCCCTTATTCCGACCGTGCGCCCTCCCCCCGCTCTCCCCTGCGCCTCCCTCCTCTTGCCCCCGTGCCCCCCATCTTCCCGGAGGCCCCCTCCCCTTATTCCGACCGTGCGCCCTCCCCCCGCCCCTCCCCTGCGCCCCTCTCCCGTTGCCCCGGTGCTCCCCCCATTCTTCCCGGGCCTCCGCCTCCGCCTTCTCCCCCGTGCTTCCCCCGCCCTCCCGGGCTCCCCTCCCCTTATTCCGACCGTGCGCCCCTCCCCCCGCTCCTCCCCTGCGCCCCCCTCCCCTTGCCTCCGTGCTTCCCTGCGCGCCCCCGCCCTCTCCGGGCTTCCGCGCCTTCTCCCTCGTGCTCCACCCGCCTTCCCCTCCTCGTCATTATCCTCCTCCTCCTCCTCCTCCTCCTCCTCCTCCTCCTCCTCCTCCCCCTCCCCCCCTCCTCCTCCTCGTCCTCGTGTGTCCTCGTTATCCTCCTCTTCGTCCTCCTCCTCCGCATCCCCCTCTTCCCCCCCTTCCCTCCCCCCTCCCCCCCACCTCCTCCTCGTCCTCCCTCCCGACGACGACGACGACCTCGACGACCGCGACGACCACGACGACCACGACCACGACCACGACCGCGACGACCACGACGACCACGACGACCACGACGACCACGACGACCACGGCGACAACGACGACGACGATAACGACGATAACGACGACGACGACGACGACGACGACGACCACCACGACGACGAC